TTTTTTTCTTTCTGGAGATATTTCTTCTTTTTCTGAAGACAGTCTCAAACACTGTACAGCTATATATTGCTAAATATCATATGAAATTAAAACCCAGTATTTTTCAGAAAAAAAATTGCAAGTTAGACCATACCTGCATCATCATGCGTCTCCTGACAGTGTCAAAGGGATAAGACAGTATTCCTGAGAATGTAGTCACAACTTGGGCAATGAAAAAGGAAAAAATGAATGGGATTTGTTTTGGATTTGGCAATAATCCCTGCAAAATAAAGTAACAACAACAGTCTGTGCCAGTTCTTTAAAATATGTGTCAAATCTGGTATCAAATATCATTTGGCTATTTTTTATTGTTAACCTTACTATAAAACAACTTGGCTGTTCTGAAATACACTCTCTGTTGAGCATAAGTAACTATAAAAACAACAGCTAACGCTGTTTAAACCATCTTGCACGGATGCATTTTTGTACACAAGAAATACCTTAATGGTGTCATAACATCCAAAATAAGAGGCTCGGTACACAATGATTCCCTGCACTGAAACGCCAAAGCCCTGGTACAGGCCAGCAATCCCATCTGCCTTTGCAACTTTAACAATGCAGTCACCAAGTCCCTGGAACTGTCGCTCAGCAGCACCTAATACAGAAGAGAATTTCTATGAAGTAACATGCATATTCTCAGGCTTTACAGAACCCCTTCATTTTAGGACAAACTACTTTGCAAGACCCGAAACACTTAACATAGCAATATCATAAGAAAAATATAATAGATCATTCTGTTTCCTGCACTTATGACCAATGCACAAAGAAATCCAGGCACATGGATGGATGAGGACATTTGGATGATGAATTCTGATGAGGACTACTCATTCCAGCAAAAATAAATTCAAAGAAGAAGTCAAACAGATACTGGCATCCAGCTGTTGAAACACATTCAGGCCAAATAACCCGAATTTCCATTTTATCCCCATTCAGTAGAATACTTGCGTATGATTGAAAATAAACTCTTTCAAGCAGTCCCAACCCTCCACTCCCTCCATATGTATTCTTACTGAAGTTTATTGTGAATAGTATTCCTTTAAGCTTTAACTTGTGGATATTACCTACAAGCTATGACAAATATACAAAATACAAAATAAATAAATAAAGAAACCCAGCGAAGTACAGGAAAGCATGACAGAAATAGGGCAAGTCAGGTATCTGACTCTTAGGACAACCCTGCAAGACCCAGAGAGCCACAGGAATTGATTTGTCCAGTTACAGACAAATCAGAAAACCAAGGACAATAAGCAAAACATACATTTATTTTTCTCTGTTGTACTGCCTTCCAAACACTGCTTTAGGGAAATTCGTTTTAGCTGTTTGCATGAAAGAAATGTATACCTAGAGATATATTCTCCCAAAATCTTCGCTGACAATTTTCAATTGCTATTCTGTCAAAAATTTTCTATCTCTAAAATGAGATAAATACAAATAACTAAAATGAGATAAATATAAATAACCCAAAACAGATCAGATATACTGGAAATGTCATATAAGAGCTTTTGCTACCTTTCCCAATGTCAGCAGCTAGCCGTGTCCGGGCAAAGTCTAACGGATACACTACACACAAGGATGTTGCTCCTGCTGCTCCGCCAGAAGCCAGGTTGGCCAAAAACCATTTCCAGAACTGAAATACAAAAACTACTGTGTACAATTATGAATGTATAGTATTATATAATTATACATTATTATGTAACATAATACTGACCTTTGATGTAGATATGAATGAACTTTTTAAAACATGGAAAATTAGATTATTCTAAAACATCAGATTATTTTCAAATTAATACATTAAAAAATGTCAGTTGCAGAGTAAGGCATATAGTGAGGTACTTCAGAACTATCTGAAAAGACGTGGCGTCCATTTTTGCTTTTATTATAAAATACTTATAAGCTCTTTTCTTGTTCAAGTTCTGAATTACACAGTGCTTCTGTGACCCAGATAGCAGATAACATCTTACAGATCTATAATTGTCCAGTGCTGCATGATGATCAGCCTGCAGATCTCCCTGCTTTAATAGCAGGGCACCAGCTCTCCGTGATGAACGCAGAAACATAACAATCCATATACTTACACTATGGCCTATGCTGCTTACCAAATAGGAAAAAGCTAATGACAGAAAAAGAGACGTTTTGCAAAACATTTCTTATAGTTCTGCTAAGTTGAAATGGAAGTACAGTTACATCTATCTGTAATAAATGCAAAACAGGCAGAAGAATCCAAAGGAACTTTACATTTGCTAGTTCAGCAACAACAGAGCTCAGTGTAGGTTAATTGCCTTGTATTTTATGTGTTTTGTGGAAGACTTGGGCTACATATCCTACCTCGTGTCACTGGATAAGCTGCTGCTGACTGCAATAGCAAGCAGAGGAGGGGAGAGCCGCAGTTTGAGGATGATCGGTTCTCTCTATATTCCCTTCAGTACTAAGTGTCTGGTATGTGGATATAATTTGTCTTCCTGAGAAGAAATTACTTTGCTCTTTAATTCTCATAATCTAAAGTTTTTATTTTTTTTTCTGAAGATAACCTAGTTAAGCAAAAACTGTTGCATATAGCAATACTCTAGTCTTGATTTCCTATCCTGTACAAAACACATCCCAAGCATCCCAACATCCTGAGCTTCAATAACATATATTCTGCTTTGCTAAATATTATATTTCTAAAGAAATTAATCTTGAGTGCTATTCATGGAATGTTTCTAAAATTTGAGTCACAAGCACATACACACGCAAGCCATCTGGAAACATTTCTATGAGATGGAAAAGAGATTTGAAGAACTATAGACACTGTATTTATAGCATCATGCGTGCTCTACTTTTTCCACTCTAAGAAAAGAAAGAAATGGCAACCTTAAACTCTTTACATATGAATTAGCTCTAATTGAAAAAGGACAGCTTAAGAATTTGCATGCAATACAAGGAGATTAATCAAACATTAATGATTGACAGCATTCCTGTTGGTCAGTACCATTAGGAAAGCCTGGAGCAAGAATAGTTTCTGGCACTGCAGAAAAAATATGTCAGAAGAGAAAGCATAGAACATTAGGTTTTTGTTTCAACTCTAAAAACCTAACCTCACAAAATCCTAAAAATGATAATCTAAGACAGACAAGTAAAGCAGATCTTTCAGCTATTTTCACATGAAACAAATTAGATACTTATTTTCCATTCTGTTGATATGAATTAATTATATGCATGAAATTTGTCCAATGCCAATATCAACATTTCACATTCCAAGATTTGGCCTAGTTTTGTAATTAATTAGGTGGACACCTGCAAAGGTGTCTTTGCAGGAGCCCATCCAAGTAGAGGAACTTTTCCCGATTACAAAGAATTGCAATATAAGGCAGTGGAGACCCGAAATTCAGATAGCCTTTTGTATCATAACCCAGGAGTGTTTCTCTTCTCCCTGATGCATTGAGATTAGAGTTTTAGGTCATGCAGTCTTAATTGTGAAAATGCAATCAGGATTTCTGACAAGGTCCTAAAATGTAAGTGTCTGAGAACAAATATCCAGTCTTATTACTTACATCTGTTAACTCCAAAAGGATTACATATTCTGAATGAAGCTTTGAAAAATTCAATTATAGGCACTTATTTACATGTACGTCACAAAGTTATTAATCATTAGAGATTAAAAACAACTCTTAACATATTTCTTTACTTTCTATAGTAAGCTATGCAGCAAGCCATGCCCACTGTTCCTTATTATAAAGCAAAGGTGAACTATTAAAAAAATCTAACCATTATACTGTTGCTAATTACCAACCATCTTGAGAGAAGGCACTGCCAGGAATTACACAGTTCTCAGCTGAGACCCAAGTGGTTTACTTACTAAACAGAAATAAGATGCAACAAATTATTTACCTGTTTGTCTTTATCCACTCTGGACATGAAAATCTGTTTGTATTTGTCCTTAAAAGCAAAGTTTAGAGCTTGTGTTGGAAAATATCGGATCACATTGGCCAAATTGCCACGCCAGAAGCTGAAAAATCCTACAGAAAGGAAATGGATTATTAAAATTACTTTTACAACGTATGTATTTCATTCAGTATATCCTATGACATTTTTCCTACTGTTCTGATTTGGCATGAGTTGTTACAAAGGTAAAAAATGTCCCATTTTAGGTCCTTTGGCACTGGAAATCTTTATTTATTCTGATACTTACAAACAGATGTCTGCACTAGGTGTTTACACAAGGACATCTCCTAGAACTACAAGCGAAACACCAATAATGCTGGGACAAATGACGAAGATTTGCGACCTCTTTACTTCATAAGTAAGTCTAGGGATACCTATGCATACCATAGTGCGTAAATTGGGTAAGGTTTCACTAAACAATACAGCAGTTGTTTTACGCATGCAGCCTGTGCACATATTTTAGCTTCCACAGAGGGTGCTCAGGCTCCACATTAAAGCAATGGCTAAATCATTTATACAAATAATTGAAAACTTTATAGGGTCTTTGTAATTACAGACTTGTCAGTGGCACATTTGACTTCTTTCAAAACCCCGCCCTAGGGGATGCGTAGAGGATCCCAATGCCAGCCTTGTTCTCTCTCAAACAGCAGCTCTCCTCTGATCACCGACGGCCGCGGCAGAAAGCTCCTCTTGCCACCGCATCCCCGTATTTCGGGACTGAACGCGAGGGAGTGAGGGCAGGCGGGGGGCGGCCGGCGGTGCCTACCCTGCTCGCGGGGGATGCGCACGAAGCAGTCGATCATGCCCTTGTACTGCTGGTCCTC